GAAGGGTTCAGTGAATGTGCATATGAAACTGGTGGGTTCGGTACCTCAAAAAAGGTTAAGAACCACTAACCTTTTTCTAATGTCTATGTTTTTAGGTCAGTGAGATGAAATGTATTACTACATTCAATCTTTTCTATGTCAACAGGCAAGTTGTTGTTCCAGGTCTGCTGGGGAGTGACTACCTTGGTGGTGGCTGTCTTGATGAGGTTGACTCTTTGGTCGGCTTTACGGAGCTCATGGTGGCTGGCAGAAGAGTTGGTGAAGATTTCAACACCATCTAGCCCCATCTGAATATGAGGGCTGAGGAAACAATAACTGTATATCAGAGCTGGATATACTGTTAGCATGTCCTAACATGCTAACAGAATCAAGAAAAGTGAAAAAAATAAAACATCTTGAAGTGTTGCTCACTCGGTTTCTTCAGAATCACAAAAAAATTTATTTTACTAAAGTGAAAGTCAGATTAATAGCAAAAGCCTCTTTTCTTTTAATGTACATTTGAATTTCCAATCAAAATGTCTCCATTTGATCTAATTGAAGGAAGTGACCTGTGTGATTGTGTCTCTGTCTGAGCTGCTCTACCTGTTGGGATTCCAGAGCTCTGCACAGATTTCCGTGCCAATACTGGTGTCCTTAGTGGACAGCACACAATCCCCAAATGGGACAGTGTCCTGAGGAACCGAAGACAAACAGACACTGTTATGACAACTGCTCTGAGGACTCACCAGCCAGCTGGTAAATTAAAACAATATTCTTCAAAAACATTCTAGAAATGAAAGGATGAAATCATGAAGTAGATTACATCACCAGTCACAAGTCAGTACCTGGCCGGTTACTTCCTGGATCATTCTGGGCAGGAAATACTCTTCCACCTGTCTTAACACACAAGCTCACAGGATTAGATTTATGCATAAACTAAAATCATGGTGTGCGAGTAGAACAACAGGGTGAGATAGCTCCAGACACACAACGTTGGTCAATACAGCATCCTTAAGCTTTACTATATTTTTTTCTTTCTCTGGGTCACAGAAATAATGAAAAATCAATTTTTTCCTTACATCAGAGTTAAAAGCCTGTTTTTTTCAGAGAAGAGTAGCTTCACATTTCCACAAGGGAATAACACTAATGGCTTAAGAAACATTAATTTTTTATGGGGATATTGTTTTTGTCAATAGATTTTAAGGTACTGGATTTAAACAAAAATATGACAGAATAAAACATTGTATCAAACTTCCTACAGTAGGTACTATGAAAAGAAGCCATACTGATTACACAAGTTATGCTACTTTTGTGAGTCTAAGCAAATGATGTTTTACTGGCCAAAAGGTTTTAAAAGCAGCTGCATTAGCACAAGTGAACCACACTGGTTAAGTAGAACATCAAGACAACACAACAGACCACCGCAGTATAGTCTGAACTGACAATGATAAAGGTTGGTGCTATACATGGACAATGTGCCGCTCAAAAGTAGCTTTGTTACTATAGAAGTACTGCAGCAGTTTTTCATTCTGTTAAAGGAGAGTTTTCCTTTCCACCATTGCCACATGCTTCCTCAGTAAGTCAATGCATACTGTTGGCTTTCCTTAGAAAACTGAACCAACTGAATTAAATTTAACTGTGACCAACTGACCATCAATCTGTCTTTGTTTCATGAAGTGAATTGAGAGGCCATTTGTTGTGAATCAACACAAAAAAAAAACAACATATTGTGTTGAATAAATTGAATTTAGTAGAGACTAACCTTAACCGACTCCAAGGTGAGAACCAACGCATCTCTCTGTAGGTGCCAGAATTTGCCATCAACATCTTAGGTCTGATTAGCAGGATTTTTCTACAGGAAGCAAAAATAATGCAGATTTATAGTTTTTGCTACACAATGAAAAAATTTATCTAGCTCAAACAGGTGCCAAACATTCTAGACTGTAGTTGTGGTTGGACTAAACCTCTGACATACCTGTTCAGAAAGAGGACACGGCAGTTGTAGCGCACATTATGATGCATGATAGGCCTGAGAGAAAAACAAGAGAAAGTCACACGTGGGGCCTTGAAAATATATTCATAACTCTGAAAGTTAAACTCTTTTTTTCACTTCATAACTTCTGTGGAGCCGCATCAGTTCTGCAGTGGTCTGTGCTTTTTACGGTCTAATTAACTTTTTCTGCACCTTTATTTATTTCCGCAAGATAAAATGCCGGCTGCTCTGTTTAGATTATAAACAGGCTTAACATTGCATTCTCTTAACAGTAGTTTTCTCTGGTCTGTAATGGAGACTTGAATTAAACGTGCCATTTCAACCAAAGGTTTGAAATGCGCTTCCTAACCAAATGCTCCAAAGCGTTCAGTCCATAACTCTTCAACATGTCAGCTCCCAGTCAGAAAGATGCATTTAGTTCAGGATTTTTTTAATTGATTGATTTTAGTTGCCTCTACGATGAACTCTTTGCGTAAAGTCTGTAATGTCTGCCCGTGTGAACCAGTCAGGGTGTGAATTGACAAGGGTGTGTGTCGGATAGGCTTCAAATTTTCCCTTTGTTAAAAAAAATAACCGGTCAAATACGGAAAATATTCCGTTAATACGACCTCTGGTCTCCACTAAGTTTTCCTCCAGAAATGGAGGAAAACATTTTCCAGTATTCCATCTTCCCAGTGGAATACTGGAAAATGGTGTTTGATTTCATTCTTATTGCATTTATATATATAGTTTAAAAAATATGCTGAACAAAGAAGGAAGAACCGAGTTTTACAGATAAGTCTGTAAATGAATTACTGCACTTTCATTCTGTGTTCACAAAAGCTTTTGATAATAAATATTTCTTGTAGACTACTATAAATATGACTGCACTGCAGAGTGTTGCTCCTTTTGTTTGTAGCAACTGGGTCAAACACCGGCGTCATCTTGTGGCACAATGAGGGCAAGTCAAACCGCAAACAACCAAGACTGAATACACAGAAGGGGAGGAAGTTGTGAGCGATTTATCTGTGGTTTTGAATGAAGAAGCTAGATGGAGTGAAGAAGATAAAGCTGGTTCTACTGACGGACTGCAACCCTATTTTCTGAGCCATGTTATTCAGGAAGCAATACTGCATCGTTTCTGGGGAGGAAGAGTCCAACAGTTGAAGCGATTTTACATCTACTCTATTTCAAGATAACACTTACATTCCCACATCACAGATGATGTCCTGGGTAACCGGGGATTCCAGAAGAGTCTTCAGGGCCTGAAAGCTATGAAGCAGCGTGTCTGACTCATAGAAGTGGTCTGCACAGCCATACCCACTGTCAGATACACACCAGACAGAGAGAAAAGGGATTTTAGCAAAGTGAAGTAAAACCAAATCAAAACAGAAACTAAGCCCTCTGATTGGTCAGTATAAATTCATAGTTGTTTTTTTTTGATTGAAACACATAAAAACATGGACTGTGTTTGCTGTTTTGTGAAAAACTATAGAACTGATGCTACAACCACTCACAGAGCATAACATTTACTCCACAAAAGATCACTGCTGATAGCGTTGCTGCTTGACATTGAGTAGAAACGCTTGCTCAAGAGACTGGGAAACTCCTGTACCATGCTTAAAAATCTATTGTTTCAGCACACTAGCTTTTTGTTATCAAATAAAAATGGTTTGATACTATATGTGACATGTTGGTCATGTAAAGCATTAATTGCATTATAAAAGCAGGTGGATTAGGTGACTTCTTATCAATATAGAACATACTGTACTTAATGCAGAACTTGATGTTGGTTTGTTTTTCTTCCTACCATATCTCCAGCTCTGGACCCAGCCGATATTTGGCTCCATTTGCCTTTGCTACCTCGATACCTGCAGAAACACACACGGAGCAGGATGCATTACCGCCTTTAGATGTAGAAAAAAACCTGGTTGCCTATACTGTAATATTTCTGCACTAAAATAAATTCATCCAAAACTTTCTGATTTTTATGTGAAAATTGAAAAATTGAAAGCCACCGATCATCCTTTTGCTTCCACTTTTCCTGTTTGTGACCTAAAAATGCCAATAAGATCCATTAAAGATCTGGTTGTTACTTGACAGAATCAGAAAAAGTTCAAGGGGCATTGTCTTGTAAAACATTATACTGCAGAAATGTTCTAACTTAATCAGGGTGGAACAACACTCACACTTTAACAATACATACATCTATTTAAAGTAACAGCTTGGGATTTTTTTGCATCTCAACAAAGGGACACAAACAAAATTAAAACTAACTAAATTCAAAAAAGAACAATGTTAATATTTTATGACAATTGTTTTTTGAAGGGAACTAAGGGTGTTTTTGCTAGTTATTTTGTATTTTTGCCTTTTCGTAGATGACATAGATTGGGTCTTTCACACCAAACGTTTTTGGTTATAAAAGGAACCGTCTTTCCCACCGATCATCTATTATTTCTAATGTCATACCCACTAGAGTATGCTGTTGCTCCAGTACATCACAACTTGCTCATAGAACCAGGGACAGAAGCTGGGCTGAAATACATGCTTATATCTACTTATATCTAGTATGGTTGTGTGGAGTGCTGCTGCCTACCTACAACAGTCAACAGGCGAGAAGCGGGGTCACACAGGACAGGTCGCCAGTCCATCACAGGGCTACATAGACGGACAGTCTCTACACAGACTCCTATTTGCATTCTAACTCATTTTAAAAACTTTATCTTTCTTACCATCCAGTGTGGAAAAAAACATAGATTAACTTCTGACTCTGGATTAAACCCCACATGATTCCTTATTGTGACAGGTTCAAACATTGACCAAACTAATGTTTTATACCCTCCCCGCCAATCTAGTTCAGACTGTACAAAACCTGCTTCAACAGTAATAACAGTAAACAAATGGTCACATTCTTAATTTAACTCCATCCATGCTCTCATTTTCAGATATTTATTGGTGTTTCAATAGGGAAAAAACCTGACATTCACTCCATGCTGGTCTATTTCCCCCTCCACCTCACCATACAGACACACAACCTATTATTCATCTCTTCTCTGTTGGCAACAAACTGCGCTTGGACATTTTAAAATCATGGACCTTTCAAATGTGTGTCAGTTGGACACTGTGCTGACTGGTGGGGAAATTAAGAACTGCTGTTGCATAGTTGAAAACATTGTGCATATTCTTATGGAATATTTACTGCAGTACTGTGTATATATTTTGTATTTATTTTTGGGTTCTACGTATGTGGTGTTCACTTTAATTTTTCTTCTTTAAAATACATGGTA